TTTCCTTGTTATTATTATTATTTAAAAATAACTATTAAAAAAATCTCTATTATTTATACGACTCTCCACTTAAATGGGGGGAAAAGAGTATGAATTGCCCATGATATGCCATGCTAAACTCGAACAACTAACAAAACTAGTTTATTAAACAAGCTATGTCATGTTTGTTGGCGAACAAATCAATTCATTTTATCTTATTTTTATTTTTACTTTTCATATGCTTTATGAATGCTTAAATGAAACGGCCAACCCGAACTTGTTCGTGAATGAGCATTTCATATTCATGACAATCTAACAATAAGCATTCAAGTAATTAGGTTTATTAAATGAGTCGAGTCAATAAGCATTCAAGTAATTAGGTTTATTGAATGAGTCGAGTCGTGTTTAAATCGAAATTTGTGTTCGCTTATTAAATGAACACGATTTCATGAAACTCCAATTGGACACGAACTTCCTTCTATACATTTGTGTTAGCTTTTTTTTTTTTTTTTGGGTACAATAAACGAGGCTAAAAGCCTAAGATGGAACACTAAATGACTATACTACGTGGATGAGCAACACTCGTTAAGTCGTGTTCCAACCAAATCTTAATCCCAGTTGGTGGCCCGTGTAACTTCAGATATCCTAGCGAACTCAACGCCGCTTGTGCGGCTAGATAATCGGCTGCGTAATTGGCTTCCCTATAGTTATGACGGATCACCACCTCCCAAAAGCGACTCAAAAGGTCCTTGATAGCCAGAATCAGACCCCTATGCATACCTGTAGGTTCTTCCTTTTTCATGACCAGTTAAATTGAGTTAATTTTGAATAAAATTGATTGAATAGAGAATCAAATGAGATTTTAAATTTATATTTAAATAATATTGTAAAAATCGGAGATGAGTTGAACATGATAGGTAATTAAAAATATTTACATAAATGAAAAATGATGAATTAAGTCAGTTTGATGTAAGATAAAAAATATCATCAAAACCGATTTTAAGCTATATTCAAATCCCATTGCCCGGTTACTGTAAACGTGTGTTGTTTTTTACCAAAAACCACAAAACTCTCCAAAGCGTTTTTGTTTTTTCAACAACACCATGAAACTTAGGGGGTTGTATTCAATTGCAACTTTTAGAGACTTTTTAAGACTTTTAGAATTCTGGTGTATTCAATTAGAACTTTTAAAGACTTTTAAAAAGTTTACATGTATTCAATTGAGACTTTTAATGACTTTTAATAAGTCTCTAAAAGTATCAGGGTATTCAATTAAAACATTCTGAGAGTCTTTATAAGTCACCCGATATTCAAAACAGAAAGACTTTGTGAGACTTTTTAAATTTTGAGACTTTTGTAGACTTTTGTAACAAAATTACAAAGGAAAAGTCTCAACAGAAATCTCATCAATATTGGTGAGATTTTGCTGGACTTATGTGACTCTTTTCACGCTCTCTTTTTTTTTTTTTCTTTCTAACACGACTTTGTATCTCATATCATTTTAATGCTCTACTATTTTACTTATTTATTTTGATACCTTGTGTAAGTTTTATTTTCATTACATATTATTGTGATCTTTTTGTTTTATATATTCTTTATTATGCTTATTTTATGTGTGTATACCTTATTCTCTCATTTTGTTATCTTGTGAATTTGACTTTTCAAAGGTTAATGCTTCCATAGTTGCACTTGCAAATAATTTATTTGTTCTTTCTTTTTATTTTTAAATGTTTATTTCAAAATATTAAAAAAAAATATTTTATTTTCAAATAGTTTATTTGTTAATATTGAAATGTTTTGAATATTATTGATAATTTTATAAGATACAATTACTGTTTTTCGGCATGTTTGTATCTTGTAAAAATATAACCTAATAATATTTTTCTAATATAACAACATTATGCAAAAAAACATAAAAAATAAAATCAATAAATAATTAAATAAATATATCTTAATTTGAGTTTATTATAAGTGTCGTTATAGTAGAGATGTCTAACACATATTTCACCTTGTACTCTTTTAACAAACAAATATAAGGCCCTGCTCGATTCGACTCGTTGAAGCTCGGATCGATTTACTCGTTTGATAAATCTAAAATCCTAAACAATTTGTTCGTGAATAACTCATTTCGCATAAAAATGAGTTTTTTCATAAATTTTTAGAGGATTAATATATACAACATCTTTTTGTTTTTTCATTTATTCTTGTTTATATTAGTTATTATGTTATGTTTATTAATATTTTATTCAAACATAATATTATAACTGCAAGTATATAAAAGTCTCAATAAGTTTTAAAAAGTCCATTATGAAAGTCTTAAAAAGTCACTGATGAAAATTCTCTGAAAGTCACAAAAAGTCCACCAAAGTCATGAAAGTTCTACAAAGTCCACAAAAGTCATCAAATTTAAAAAATTTTAAAAAGTCCATAAAAATCTCAATTGAATACACCGTCCTTAATTTACAGTTGGACTTATCTTTGAAACGCAACCAGTTCGACTCTGAGACAATGGCAGCTCAGCTTTCCGGTGGGCTGGCCCCGTTCACACTCGCCGGAAGTTCTCTCCACCGTCGTAGCATTCTTTTTCCGTCCACAGCTCTATCCGCTGCTCATCCTTCCACCTCTTCGCCCCTTATCCAGGCAAGACGTCTTGAATTTACTAAACCTATGCCCGTTTACTACCTCAAGTGTACCCGTTTGCAGTTGATTTGCTTGAAATCACTTTGTTTTCTCGATAATACCGCATCTATGATTTCTGTTTAGAAGTTGTCAATTTTATCTTTCGCCTGTTATAGTTTTTGGAAGATAAGTTTTGAGCCAAGGTTATCTATTAAGATATACATTCCAGTGTGATTCTGGAAATTTGGAAAATGAATGTGTGTTGTGTAGCTTTCATGTATATAAAATGTGAAAAAGTGATGAAGAAATGCATAAACATTTCGGTCAGAAATAAATTTAGCCTAGGAGACGCTGGGAAACTGACATGGAGTTTGTTTTTGTTAAAATCTTGTCGTATGGAGGGATTATATTTTCAGTAAATTGCTTTGCAGATTGTTGGTGGAAAGGATTTCGAATGGAATGAGAGCTCGAAAATAAGCAGAACTTTGAACATTGACCCTGAAGATTTTGATTGGGTAGAATTGGAATCTGATCTTAATTATTGGACGAAAGCAATACGCCCAGTTCAGGTAGGAATAAGGTGTGGACTTCACTACTCATCTTTTCCAATGGTGGATTACTTGTGCTTATCTTCTGCTGATTGTGATTTTTGCTTTTGTACTCTTACTATGATGCAATTCAATAGTGGTATCCTGGTCACATTGCCAAAACTGAAAAGGAGCTCAAGGACCAGCTAAAATTGATGGATGTTGTGATTGAAGTTCGAGACGCTAGGATACCGATGTCCACTACCCATCCGCTGGTTAGAATCTCTTTGGTTTGTTTGTCTTAGGATCTAAATACTGTTATTGGATGAGATATATTATACTTGGTATCTTTGCTCTGATTTATATCTTTGCATTGGTGAAGATCTTGTTTATGGAAATCATTTATATTCTGGCTGCACTTGAAACATATGGCTGTTTATTCATATTAAGAAATAACACAAGGCTTATTAAATGTAGAGCCTGCAGATTCGTACAACTGACCCCCCAGACCCCAACCCGTTTGGGAATATACTGGGTATGTTGATGTTGATGATGTATTTTGTTTTGGAATTGATCTTGGTCATGATTTTATGATAGATGGATTCGTGGTTGGGAAATAGGAAGAGGATTATTGTTTTAAATCGCGAAGACATGATTTCTATAGCTGACCGAAATGCTTGGGCTAGCTACTATGCCAGGCTGGGAACAAAAGTGGTTTTCTCAAATGGACAACTGGGAATGGTACTTAACATACCTCTGTGTACTTGTCAGTTTATATCATTGAAACTATATAACTATTACTTGGGAAAATCTAGGGGACCATGAAGCTAAGCAGGTTAGCAAAGGAATTGGCAGGTGATGTAAACATCAAGCGCAAATCCAGAGGATTGCTTCCTCGTCCGGTGAGTTTCTCGTGATTGATTTTATTCTGTTGTAAGAAGGGCTCAGGATATTCTATGATGACGCTTTACAAGGTCATTTATGTTGTTAAGTTCCTTAGGATAGTTTTTGTTTGGTTTATTATTGTAGAGACAAGCGATTTGCTGCTATTTATGTAAAAATGAAGAAAACAGAATTCATGGAGAAGCCATTGATATCTTAGCTCAAGTTCTGTAAATTCAAATCAAAGAAGATAAGGCACACTACACGTATTTGTACCCTACCCCATAATGAGCTATTACAAAATGACACGTGCAGGAAAAGATAAAAGAAAACCTACATACGCTTCATTAAGTGAAACGCGATTTTAAGTGATAAAAGGGAAAACCGAAAATGTTAAAGGAAAACAACAGAATAAAAGCAGTAAAATGGTCATGCAAGACGTGATCTTCATTGACTCTTCAACAATTCCAACACCCCCCTCAAGCGGGAATGTGGCCATGCATGCGCATTCCCAGCTTGAAGATGAACCTCTGAAAATCAGCTTTCCCCAAGGATTTTGTAAAAAGATCTGCCGGTTGAAGTGAGGACATGACATACTTGGGCATGACAAAACCTTCCTTGTATTTGTTTCGAACCACATGACAATCAATATCAAGATGTTTGGTGCATTCGTGGAACACCGGGTTAGCTGTAATATGCAGGGCAGCATGATTGTCACACCAAAGAGAGATAGGTGTGGCAATGGGAAGAGATAGATCCTTGGCCAGAAAAGAGAGCCATTGAAGTTCAGTGGTTCACAAACTGTGCTTGCCATCGATCTATATTCTGCCTCTACCGAAGAACGGGACACGGTTTTCTGCTTCTTTGTCTTCCAAGAAATGAGAGCATGTCCCAAGAAAATGCAGTAACCGGTGAGGGACTTTCTTGTGATGGTGCAGCTACCCCAATCTGCATCTGAAAATGCCTCCAAAGTTGAGGAAGGAGTGGTTGTGTAGTAAAGTCCCAAATCAGGTGTTCCATTAAGATATTTCACTAGATGAACAGCAGCATTCCAATGAGCTTGTGATGGTGCTTGTATAAACTGACTGAGTTGTTGGATAGCATAAGAAAGGTCAGCCATTGACAAGTTTAAATAAAGCAATCTTCCCACAAGCCTTCTATAACCCTCAGGATGATCATAAAGCTGAGAATCAGAGGAGGAGAGATTCACTCCCTGTGGTAAAGGTGTGACAACAGGTTTGCAATCTGTTAATCCCAAATCATGCACTATGTCAAGGATGTATTTCTTTTGCCCCAAGAAAGTGCCATGAGTTGTTTGATGTATTTCCAACCCAGGAAGTACCTTGCTTGTCCTAGGTCTTTTATAGTAAAAAATCATCAAGATATGCTTTGAGGTGTTTGATATCAGTTAGGCTACTTCCAGTAATAAGAACATCATCTACATAAATGAGCAAGATGAGTAACTGTGCACCTGATCCTTTGAAAAATAAGCAATGATCGTGTGAAGATTGGAGGAAGCCATAAGAAATGAGCTTGTCAGAAAATTCAATGTTCCATTGTCTGCTTGCTTGCTTCAGTTCATATAGGCTTCTCTTTAATAGACACGCTTCACCCTTTGCAGCCTTAGTATACCCTTTAGGAGGTTTCATGTATACCTTTTCATCCAAAAAACCATGCAGAAAAGCATTGTTGATGTCAATGTGATGTAGCTCCCATCTGTGCTGTGTGGATAAAGCTATGATCAATCTTACTGACACAAGCTTGGCCACAGGTGAAAAACTATCCATAAAGTCCACTCCTTCTCTTTGTAAAAACCCTTTTGCCACAAGCCTGGCTTTGAACTTATCAACTGACCCATCTGGATTTCTTTTAATTTTGGAAACCCATTTTGAACCAATAGCCTTTTTACCTGCTGGCAATTTGGTAAGTATCCAAGTGTGATTTGCCTCCAAGGCTGTGAGTTCTTTGTGCATTGCATCTATCCACCTTTGGTCACCAATGGCCTGTTCATAGAACAAAGGTTCTGTTGCTGTTTTGTCAACCTCAGATAAAAACAGACTCATTTCCTCATCATCTGGAATATCCACCACATAATCAGACAACCATGAAGGTGGCTTCTTGAGTCTATGCCCTCTCCCAAGGTTTTCATCAATTGTTTTGTGCATATTTGATTCTTGTTGACTGGTGTCTGCTGATGTCCTTTCTGTCTCTTCAGCATCATCAGTAAGTGGTAAAGGAATGACTGGCTGAGTAGTTTGTGCAAGTGGTAGAGGAAGAACTGTGTTTTGGTCATGAAATGGAAACTTGTGTTCATAAAAGATCACATCTCTGCTTGTAAAAATCTCCTTTGTGTCTAGGTTGTAAACCCTGTACCCCTTAATTCCAGAAATATATCCCAAGAAGACACAACCAGCAGCTCTCTCATCAAACTTCTTTTTATGTGTCCCTAGTCTGTTGGCATAACATAGACATCCAAACACTCTGAACATATTGTAAGCTGGCAGGGTTTCATGCAACAATTCATAAGGACTTTTCCAGCCCAACTTGCCCAACTTCCCACTAGGCAATGTGTTTATGATCTGCACAGCAGCAAGTAGGCTATATGGCCAAAGCTCTTTCTTCAGTTTTGATTGGAAGGATATTGATCTAGCCACTTCTAAAATGGACCTGTGCTTTCTCTCCACAACTCCATTTTCTTGTGGAGTATAGGGGCAGGTCCTTTGATGCAGTAACCCATTCTCTTTCAACAAGTTGTCCATGTCCTTGTTAACAAATTCACTACCATTATCACTTCTAATTTGTTTCACTTTAATTCCAAACTGTACCTCTATCATCTTGAAAAAGGATTTCATGTGAACATGAGTTTCACTCTTGTATTTCATCAAGTATATCCAAGTTGCCCTTGTAAGATCATCAACTATAGTCAGCATGTAAGAAACATTGAGCACTGACTATTCAAGGTGTGGACCCCACACATCCACATGCAGCAACTCAAACTAAACTTCTGCTTACTTTGTATTTGGCTAAGAGGAAAAGGTAATCTGCTTTGCTTTGATCTGTGGCAAATATCACAAGGACTTATTTCTTGAGCTGTGTGATTGTTACTTAAGAAATGTAAATGCCTTAGACAATGTGCAGAACTGTGTCCCAATCTTCTGTGCCATAGCAGCATATCCTCATTCTGTGTGATTTCCTTTTCTACAGCATTGACAAAAATTCCTTGTGCATCAATCACATATAGGCCTGCCATTGCTCTCCCAACAGCCATAGTTGAGTTAGTTCTCATATCCTTCAGTTTGCAGTCCTTATCAGTAAAAGTAAAGCTCATCCCATTATCCTCCACCAATTGTCCCACAGACAAGAGATTGTATTTAAACTCAGGAATTAGTAGGACATCTTTGAGAGTAATCTGATCATTAAACTGTATTTCACCAACCTGTGTGACCTTCACCTTTGTTCCATCTGGCAAGTTCACAATGACACACAATGACAGGAGTTTGAGTGTATGATTTCTTGGCCATTAAGCTAGCCTCACTTCAAATGTGTGTACTTGCTCCTGTATCCACAATCCAACTGCTCTTGTTTAGCTTTCCCACCAGAGAGAATGCATAATCTTCCTTGTCACTTGAGTATTCTACAAAATGAGAATGTGTATTTGTTTCTGCATCTCTTTGTCCTGCCATATATCTTGCAACTTCCTTCTGAATCAAGACACTTATATCTGGCAATGTGTCACTATGCTGAGACTTGCTTTCTGAGTCACCCTTTGAAGAATCATCATTATCAGCCATGTTTACGTTTTGAACCTGTCTTTGTTCTCTCAACTCCTTGAACCAATCTGAATATCCATTAAGCTTGAAGCATCCTTGTATTTCATGTCCATTATAGCCACAGTGGGTGCAATACAGCTTTGCCCTTTTTTCCTTTGACAATCTTGGTCCTCTTCTTCCCCTACCAGTATTAAAATTCTGTGAGGCAAAGCCTTTACCTCCATTACCTCTGCCAAAAGCTTGTGTTCTGCCACTACCTCCTCTCCCAAAGTTTCCTTTAACCAACATAGCTGAGTTTTCAGTTTGAGTAGACATTGTTATGCCTACACTCTTTTGTCTTTCAACCTTTAAGATCATTGAATAGGCTCTATTTATGCTAGGCAGTGGTTCAAGCAATAGAATCTGATTTTTCACTGGCTCAAAAACTTCATTTCGACCCATAAGAAACTGCATTAGCTTAACCTCCATATCAACTTCAGAAAATTTCTGTCCAGATCCACACACAAAGTCAGGAATAGAAATTAAGCAAGAATACTCATCCCACATACATTTCAGTTTAGTAAAATAAGCCGTTACTGAGAGATTTCCCTATGTAAAATTGGCAATCTCCTTCTGTAACTGATATTTCAATGGTCCATTACTTTCACCATAGCGTTCTGCTAGCTCATCCCACAGTTGCTGAGCACTTTTGACATACGAGAAAGCTTCTACAATATCTTTAGAGATAGAATTTAGCAGCCAAGAGATAACCATAGAATCTACCTTCAAGTACTGATTGTATTCTTCAGATCCTTGGTTTGGAACTTCCATGGAGCCATTGACAAATCCAAGCTTCGATTTCGCGCTGAGAGCGAGCTTCACTGCGCGGCTCCAATGGAGGTAGTTCGATCCAGTAAGCTGATTTGAGACGAGTACCATGCCAGGGTTATCAGATCCATGAAGAGATTGTGGATCTATGTCCCGTGTGTAAATACCTTTTCCGATAATCTCACGACCTTGCTCGTTTTGCGCCATTGTTAACCCGTTCTAGATACCATGTAGAGACAAGCGATTTGCTGCTATTTATGTAAAAATGAAGAAAACAGAATTCGTGGAGAAGCCATTGATATCTTAGCTCAAGTTCTGTAAATTCAAATCAAAGAAGATAAGGCACACTACACGTATTTGTACCCTACCCCATAATGAGCTATTACAAAATGACACGTGCAGGAAAAGATAAAAGAAAACCTACATACGCTTCATTAAGTGATAAAAGAGAAAACCGAAAATGTTAAAGGAAAACAACAGAATAAAAACAGTAAAATGGTCATGCAAGAGGTGATCTTCATTGACTCTTCAACAATTCCAACAATTATCAACTTCTTTTGGTCCCTTATTCTATTTTTTTTTTTTAAGATTCCTGTCAGTGAACTGTTCAGTTTTTCAGTGTTCATGTACTTCAACTTTTATTTTGAATTCTCGCAGTTTATTAATTCATTTGATTAGTGGCCGATGCGAATGAAATATTCCATCGGTTTCTCTATTCTGTTTAATCTATAGAAGTAAAGAAATCCAAATGTTATCGATAATATATAATAGGGACAGGAAGTAATAAAACTTCTCCAGCACAAATTCAATTTCTGCCAGCAAGTTAATGCCTAAGATATTACAAAAATATCTGTGCTCTTGTTCTCTGGACAATCCTATCTTACATGCTAAAATATTTCTAATGTAAAATGGTAATAAGAATCAGAAGAGCCAAGAAAGTGAATAGCATATGAGCATATGATTAAAAGTCAGTCGAAATCTTTAAGATAAAGAAATTCTAAAATTGATATCCCCCCATTCTTTCAACTCCATCTTATCCACCGTACGAGTTGCTTCATGCATGCTTTACAGGTTCGTGCTGGCATAGTTGGTTATCCAAATGTTGGTAAATCATCTCTGATAAACCGGCTGCTCAAGCGTCGAATGTGTCCCGCAGCTCCAAGACCAGGTGTCACAAGAGAGCTAAAGTATGCACTCTTATTTCTGTTTTATGTGTGATTTATCACAGAGAAACAAAAACAAGTCCATGTTGTTTGAAATTTCAGAATCTATTACGTAATCTGAGAGTATCTATATTGAATATTCGTAAAGATGTATATCTATATCTGTCTGTTTATATATATATATATATATATATATATAATTTTAAATGCCTACCTAAGTGATATTAAATTGACCAAGAGGCCTATTTTCATTTGTAAGTTCAGAATTCTGTACTGGTACTTACGCTAATTCTGGCATGAGGGTCTTCTTCATTTTTGTGATTTTATGTGAAGAATGACATCTGATCACATTATATATTAAAAATATATTTTCCGGTATTAATTCATCGAATGAAAAAGATGCCAAGTTCTTCTCCATAAAACACGATGCTGTTAGATATAATTGCAGGCTAATTTACATGTTCTTGAAACTCTTATCTTTTTTTGTGCCTATAAAAGGTGGATTCGGTTTGGGACAGACTTAGAATTGCTGGATTCTCCTGGGATAATCCCGATGAGGATCAATGATCAGTCTGCAGCTATTAAACTTGCCATATGTGACGATATTGGTGAGAGAGCATATGATTTTTCTGACGTAGCAGGGATTCTTGTGCAGATTTTGGCACGGCTTCCCGCAGTGGGTATGTTTGTTTATCTATCTGTCTTCCATTATATTGCTGTTCTTTGAGTAGTAAGTAGTAACTAAAGATGATAGTGCAATTTCCTCTGGTTGCCTTCTTGAAAACACCTCATTTTTCAATCTTTTTTTTCCCCCTAAATTCGAGCATCGGACAAGGTCAAGCTAAGATCTCTTAACTCCTCTGGTTGGTTGAAAGTTTTTTTGTCAAACCAATTGAATCCCTCTCCTGTGGTCTATCTGGGCTTGAATCGTCTTATCTTTTTATATTTATTATTTTTTTAATGGGGTTGGGGATAAAAACAGGTAATCAAGCTCTTCAACGCCGCTACAAGATTGATACTGATGGCCAGGTTGGGAAAATGTAAGTTTTCGTTTATTGCTCTACCGGATGCTTATCATATTATCTTTAAGTTACACTTTTACACTAATTCTTGTATGAGACCCGCTTAGCCGCTAGGCTGGTCGACCAGTTATTCTTTTATAACAAAAATGGTTACTATGCTATGAAATGTCATACTTTAGTTTATGTTATGCATTTCGGTTTAAAAGTAAGCACATCTGTTGAGAAAATGATTGTCTGACCATTAGGCCTGTTGTGAGAGTTGTACTGTTTGGACAGAACTAATGTAATAGGTCCCAAGTTCTTTTCCAAATTACAATATCTGCAGACAGCATATTTGTGCATCTTTGGAATCTAAGACATCCATTTTTCGTGAAAAAATTGCAGATTTGTTCAGAAGATCGCTCTTCGACTATTCAATGGGGACACTCACCAAGCAGCATTTCGTATCTTGTCGGATTTTCGTAAAGGAAAATTCGGTTGGGTAGCCATAGAGAGGCCTCCTAAAGCATAGTACGAATATACGACGAATTTAAAATGTTATAAATAATATGTTACTTTTTTTAATTTATGTGATGTATAATATAATATGAAGTATATATTCATATTTTGCATCATTACATTATGTCTGTGGCCCATTTGGATACAGGGGTCCTAATTTGAACCCACTCACTTTACAAAAAGAGCACAAGTCTGCTGGGTCTTGAAGAAGCCTTGGGATACAAATGTGTATAACGCTTAAGATTGAAATATTTTGATTGGGTGGAAATGAAATATGATGATTAAATATTAGGTATGATGTAAAAATAATAAAATAATAATTGTAAATAATTGTTGATAGTAAAAAATATGAGTAACTGAATAATGAATTTGGTTCAAAATTGTGTAGTAATAATTAAATGATATTATTAAAGTATATATTGATAATATTGAGAGAATTAAGTTGGATTAGTTTTGAGTTGAATTTTGAATTAAAAAAAAAAAAACTATTTCCAGGATTATATTGTATTCATTCTTGATTCTTAAAATATTTAGCTATATTTAACTTGGATTTTTTGAATTCTTTTTAGAATGTGTGGCATTCATCTACTTGATAAAAATAAAATATCACTTGAGTTAATAGTACTCTATATGACCTTCAAGAGATGATTGAATTGAATTTCAACCGTTTTCACTTCAACTAAAGCCTGAAATCAGTTTTCTCTACAATTAAAGACAAGCAAAAATGGCGGACGGAGACAGAGAATGGGAAGTCCACCTCCGATCGTTATCCTCCGCCGCCAGAGACGCCACCGACCCCGCCTCCGACTCTGCCCTCCTGAACTCCGTCACGCGCCTCCACGACCTCTGCAGAGACGGCGAGAAATCAGTAGACGAATTGGTGGCTAGGGTTTACCCTCACCTCAACAAGATATTCCAGCGCTGCGCCTCCTCCATCTCCCAATCCCAAACCTCCAACGGCCTCCTATTGCTCCCCATCCTCCAATTCTTTCTCGATTTCGGAGATTCGGTCTTGCACGACGCCGAGCCCAGCTTACGGACGTTTTTCAGATCGTGTCTGAGCCGCGAGTTTTCGGATCCCGCGGTCGCCGAGTCGACTCTCCGGTTCCTCAGCTCGAACAGGCCGAAACTCGTAAGATCCTTCCCCGCGCTTCTACCACAATTTTTCCCCCTTCTGCTGAAACTGATCGCTTGGAACGGTGAAAAGTTAGAAAAATCGTTCCTCCAAGTCTTCCCTGGATTAATCTCTCCAGGATCGTTTATTCCCCTCTTCTCGTCCGTAGTAGATTTACCTATATTGGTTGTGGCGTTGGAGAAAGTTGAGAAAACCTCAGGTCCGCTGGTGGGGACCAGCATAGCCTCGATTCAGAAGAGCGCTGCCCCCGAGATGCTGCTGGCGCTCATGGACGAGGCCTACACCGGCTCCACCATAGGGGACGGTGGTGCCGACTCGGAATCCGAGGACAGTGTGCCCATGGCCGTGCCCGACTCCCTCTTTCTCGATCTCCTCAAGGACGAAAACGATGGACTCGCCGAACGCCACTGGACCTCCCCATCAATGGCTGCAGCTTTACAGGCGCTGGTAAAATCCTCCCCTCTGTCCGCTAGGCTCAAGGAGGCCCTCCGCATAGCCCCACGGATTCTCGATTCCTATTTTGCCCTTTCGGCCCGTGATGCTGGCGCGAATGATTCTTTAGTATGTGCTCTGATACCTTTGGTCATGACGAGATACTCTACCTTGTTCCCGGACAAAATATTCTGCTATGATGTTCAGAAAAGGCTGTTGGAGTTTGTGCTCTCGGCCTTCCGCCGCTCGCCTCATTTCATCGCAATCCTCAAAAAGCCCATCACTGACCGGCTTGGGGAGGCCTATGATGGGCAAGCTAAGGCTGAGCTAGCAATGCAGCTGTGTTGGGCTGTCGGGGAGTACGGAGCGGGAGGCGGGCCTTTCAAAGAGGCGGCCCGTGAGCTCTTTGAGAGTTTAGAGCTAATTTTATACGAGAACCTCTCTACTAGTCGAATCGGGCTTGGCGAGGTGGGGAGTCCTCCCAAGTTCCAGAAATCCTTCCAGTCGAGGATTTTGTGTTTTGTAGTGACAGCCATAGCCAAGCTGGCCACGTGCCACCAAGAGCTGCTGCCAAGGGCCCGCGTCTCGCTGGCAAAGGTGGTCCGTTCTAGAATTTCGGATGCTAGGGTTTGGGGACGCGCGCGGGATTATTTGGGGTTGATGAGCGAGCCCGCGATTTGTTTATCTGTATTGGGACCTAGTGGTGGTCCTTCAGGCGAGGCCACGCAGAATCCCCCAGGGATGGTTAACTGGGATGAAGGAGGTAGAAAAATGATTGCTCATGTTCCGTTTTATGTCCTAGGTGGACAGGAAGGTTCCCCGAATCATGATTTTTCGTTTGCAGATATTCTTCATAGTGAGTGATTTTCGATAGGAGGTGTGATGAGAAATGGGTGATGGTCCTCCTTCGGTTTATGACATTTTGCGCGTGTGAATAAGTTTCAAGCATGTAGACTGGAGAAGGATATGATATGACGAGCTCTTATGAATCGCAATATCTGAACTTGCAGCAGTTGGACAGACATGTAGAAAGGTTAAAGTCTGAGAGGCATTTTGTGCTTCGTTTTGGTTGTAAATTTGATATGAGATATGGTTTAGGCACTTTCTACTGTCCTTGTCCCATTGTATAAATTGAAAACTCATGGTTGTTGTCTTGTTGTATTAGTAAATAAAGGAAGCATTTCGAACTAAATAATAATCATTGGCAGCTTTTCCTTGTGAAAAATAGTTTTCCAGTGTTTTTCAAGTTTCAACCTTGAGATTATTATGAGATAGATTGTTGAATTCTGCTTCTGTATGGATGTAATATATAAGCTAATAAATAAATAAATGCATAGGTAGTTTTTTTACTTTATTTATATTTCTTTCATGGTTAGTTAAAAAAAGGGTCTTAAACTACCAACTTTTCCTTGTATTATTGACTGATGCAACAAAAAGATCCAGTCTTGCTTGCATTACTCTATCATCTAACATGGATTCTCAAATTGTACCCCAAATATTCCATCAGGACAATGACATTGATAATACCAAAACACACCATAAAATATAATAACAATGAATGTCAACACTTGACAGTTGCAAACACACATTAACTAACATAACAAGTGTTTGATCAAAAGTCATTAGCAAAGCATTAAGTCCCCAAAAGTCGGCCTTTTCCGAATACACATAAAATAGAAACATTGATCATTAACACAAAAAATAATTCAAACAGCACATTATCAGTTTCAAGCCTTTCTTTTCTTGTAAGATCTCTTCTTTTTCTTTGGTTCATCATCAGCAGGAGTTGAAGAAGGCAGCAAACTCACATTGTCTTTTATAGATTTTTCGAATCTGGACACCAACATCACTTCCTTTAGAGGACCCCTAACATCGATCATCTTTTCATACTGTATCAAAAAAAAAATTTAAAGTTGTTAAATCAAGTTTACCTAAGAACCGTTTCAAGTAAAACAGATGCAAATTAATATAGCAAAACTAAAATGTATTTTTAAAAACTCACAGCTGCAACTTGTCCCTCAGCAAACTCCAACTTCCTAACCAGCTCATAGTTCTCCTTCATCAACTCCTCAAGCTACAAAAAAAGGACGAAAAAAACAAAAAACAAATCAATCTACAACAATATTGCTAAACCACTAAAAGGTAAAAAAAAAACAAACAAACAAAACTCCAAAAGGAATCAACCATACCTTCTTCTGTGAATTGAAGTACAAGTTTTTGTAGTGGACATCAGAAGAAGGGCCATCATCCGACCTTTCATCAACCTGTTTGAAGCAATCAAATCTTCAATACACCAATTTGGTTTTTCTACTTTGTACTTTATCCAAGCTATTACGCTAACTAAACAACAAATCGAAATGATAACGGATAAAAGCTAGCTATAGCTTCCAAATGATGCTCAGACTAAAACCAAATTTGTGGCATGCCAATGATTTATGAAGATTTGACACTAAAGATGTTCGCATCAGCATGTCATGCATGAACATACTCTACAAGAATGGTTTTACAGGAAATAATAAGCAAAACTAATACATAGTTCACAAGCTAATATCTAGTTAAGGTCACATACTCGGTAAATAAACACAACAGTCACTTGTGGTCATTTAAACACAACTTTCGCCACACATCTAGAGATAGATAGATTGTCTACAAGAAGGAAGAAGAAAAAAAAAAATCTATAATGATATATATTGCTATACCACATAAAAAAAGAAACACAATAACAACCTTCTTCTGTGAACTGAAGAAGTACAAGCTTTTGTAGCGGGCATCGGGAGAAGGATCCTCATCCAACCTTTCAGAAACCTGTTAGAAAATCTAATGAGGCACCATATTCATTACATATTTTAGAACTGAAAAATTAAAATCACGAGGTCAACCTACACAGAAAGACCCCATTATCATCCGAGATCACATATACTCCCTATGACATTTGCTTCCCTCATACGAATTAATCGTAGGTGTTTGTAAATCTTTGAGCAGATGTCCAACTTTTTTTAAAAGAAAGCAAACTGGACCATGGGGTAATTTTAGAAAACAAATATCACAATTTCGGCACCAAAATGCAAACCTTATGCTTGAATTCATCCACAGCTTGTACGAAATAGCTAACCATTTCGTTCAAGCTTTTCTTGTTCGCATCTTTCGGGGGACCAACCTGCTCCACCCGAGTGTCCGCTTCCGAGCTCTTCTCATTCACAATGTGCTCCACTTGAATGTCAACTTCTAAGCTCTTCTCATTCAGAACCTGCTCCACCTGAGTGTCAACTTCTAAGCTCTTCTCATTCACAATCTGCTCCACCTGAGTATCAACTTCCAAGCTCTTCCCATTCACAATCTGCTCCACCTGAGTATCAACTTCCAAGCTCTTCTTATTCACAATCTGCTCCACCTGAGTGTCAACTTCAGAGCTCTTCTGATTCACAACCTGCAAAGGACTATTAACTTTCTCAGACTGTAATGGTTCTTCTTTTTCGATTTCATCAAGATCAACATGTTCAACAGTGGGTTTGATCAATTGGGTCCCGGCCGCCGGGCTCTTAAGACGTCCGGATCGTCTCAAGGGCCCATTTGTGGCCATTGATGCTTTACGTTTTTTCCATAAGCCATTGGAGTTAGGTTGAGAGTTGTATTCAGTATTCAAACCCTCCACAGGGGTTTGTGGTGGCAATTTCTCAACGGACGATGATATCCCGCGATAAAGATTTGAGCTTTTCACCTACAATTTGAAGCACGGTGTGAAGATGTGATTCGATTTCCAGTTAGAGGCTCAGCAATTGTTACAGGCTATTATAGTCAGTCATTGTTTGAGCAATTACATCAGAGCAACAAACTACCAAGTCTACATCATTATTTTTTTCCTTAAAGAATATACTAACAACGCTTAAGATGTCTAGATTATAGGAGAGGATGAGAACATAAGCATTTGCCCTGAGAAGAATAAGAAAAATCAAGAAATAAATAAATATCAGTCAAAGAAGCCAACCCCACTCACATAACTAAAGATTTCCATACATAATCGTCCTCATTCATATAACTAAAATTAATAAAAACATAGCAAATAGAAACACTGTAGAAGCAGGTGAAAAGGCAGGAATGCCAAACGAAAACACCACAATAAAGGGACAAACACTTCTCCAGACACGCGTTGGCATATGCATGCACAGGACAATGAGGAGATTATAAAGAACACTAGCAACAAATGCACAGGTAAAAATAAATCTGTGAAGCATGAAAAAGAAAAATAAAAACTTGATTTCATAATTTAAAGAAAAAAAAAAAGAAAATGGAAGGCATTGGGTCCGTATGTTCAGAAAACCTCGACAGCCGCGGCGCTGCTTTTAGCAACAGTCTTCGGTTTCCTACCCATTATTCTTCTTCTTCTTCAAGTTTTCTCCAAATGGTAACAAAAAATGGAAGCAAAATAGAAAAGCCCTCAAGCAGTAAGGTAGAAAAAAGTAGTCGAAAAAGCAAGATCAAGTTTCAGAAAAAAGGGGGGCTGTGCTGGGCTGGGCTGTGCTGGGCTGTGCTGGGCTGGGGTTCTTATGAGATGAGATGAGAGATAGTACACACAAGAACATCACACACACGAGATAAATAACGTGGGTTAATGCGATTGATCAATGAGAATCTGACGGTGGATATTTAGTGAGTAGATGGATCACAGCCGTCAATTCAGTCATTCAATCAGTCAATGCAAATTGACACGTCTTCTCAATTCAATTGGGTACAGTACAGACAGCCATATAATACGGCTAAAATATGGACACACATATACTCCCTCGTCACCCCTATATATAATTCTCGAATGTGCTGAACCTACGTGGTTGATTCTGTTACTTTGGAATCCTACTTAGCAAAAAATCATGCTTCGTAATTAGTTTTGGACAAATAATATTGATATATTAATAATTAATAATCTAGGTTTATACATTCCATAAATATTACTTAATTAACTTAGGTATTTTAATATCATTGTACTAATATAACCCTTTTATTTTTTGTAATTTTAGATAGTGAGGCACTAAGTGACTATTATATCTCCGACTTTTGATTTGTTTCCTTCAATTAACTATTGAGTTGTAATTATATTTTAAAAGTTGATAACTTTTGTATTTCTTATCGGTTTTACATATATAATATATGAAATTAATCATCTTTTGATGATCTTCGATTTGACATCTATATTGTATATATGAAATAAATAAATTATGTCTATCTTTATAATAATAAAAAATAATAATATTTATTAAAATTCATTAGAAAAATAAAATTAATTCTCAATTGATATATTTATGTTTAATTGTAGTTATATGTTGTAAGTTAAAAAAAGTATTATAATATAACACACGTAAGTCGCAGAAGTATAAAATATCATACTAAATGTATAATAATATATATATTTTTATAAAAGGTATTTAAACTTTCAACTACTTTTTCTCATTAATTTTAGATTTTTTAAAAAAAAAAATTAGCAAGCACTAGTGTAATACACGAGCGTTGTACTAGTATATATATAAAAGAAAAAAAAGAAAAAAAAGAAACAGTTTTTTATACTAATTATAAAAATATTTTCATTTATAAATTTATATATTGTAACACGTTTTAAAAATATATTTTTTTATTGAACAAAAAAATATAGTTTTGCGAAATCAACAATTGACTCCATATATAGTGGAGTCAACCAACCTTCTATATACAAAATTATATGGAGCCAAATATTGGCTTCTATAGAAGGTTCATCTACTATGGAGCCATCATAACTTTTTTTTTAAAAAAAAAAAATATATTTTATGAATACGGTTTCTTAAAATATTTGTTCTCATTTTATATGAAATTAGATTTTGTTCAATTTTTATAACTTTTTCTTAGCTTTCTCTATATTATTTTTTCCTTAAGGTAATCATATTGTATATTACAATATACTTTACAATCGTGTTAATATTGCTAAATTAGTTTTTTAATCTACAAAACAATCATTTAGAATCAAAATAAGAATAACACGTAACATCGAGCTAAGCCAAACCAAGCCGATCTCGTAATAATTAAGTTCATGCTTGAGGCCTATTATAGAGCCAGTGTCAAACTCGCCCCATCAAATTAACGAGATATATGATAAACGATCAAAGTAAAAACTCGTATCTATCAAGTATAACGATCCTTACACGAGCTCAAGTCTTCACGAGTCGAGCTCAAGAGCAATCTGTTTCGCTTAACAACTCCACTAATTATCAAGCTGTTATAATCAACATGGACTTAACAATAACTATAACATCTACAATGCATTGGGTGTAGTCTTGTCTATGTGACATATAAATAAACTCAAGTCTTTGATGACATGGATAAAACTATGTAAAATTGATAAAATTCACTTCAATGCAAAGAAACTAGGTTTCTACTTGAGTCTAAAATAGACTTAAGAGCACCCACAATGCATAGGGTCTCTTAAAAAAATAGTACATGCCATGTAGGAATTAGGCTTGATCTATCAAAAAATGTCTCACAATACAATTAAATTTAGACATAGTCTAGCTTATGTGGCAATAAAAAAATAGACCAAGCCCACTATTGGGTCTATTTTGGACCCAAGCACAAACCTGACTAGTCATCAATCATTCACAATTTTTCCTTTTTTATTGATAGTCTAGACTTAGTATTTTGTTTTTGCATTGGAATGTTTTTGGGTTTTTTCACTTGGGTTTTTCTTTGTCTGTTTAAGACTCAAGTCCAATGATACACAAAAAGACATGGAAAAACCCTTGAGACTCTAAGGGTAGATCGAGTCTCTTTTTATTGTTTGTCACATCAGCAGGGCCAAATCTACTTTTGTTTGCATTGGAGAATACATTTTTTTAGATTATGTCTATTTCTTACGTGACATACAATTTTTTGTGATTGAACTCAAAACATTGTGGATGCTCTTAATAACAAGTATTAATAATCAAATAATCTGTCGTACACACACATAATTTTGGGCCAACCGGCCTATAAAGTCCATAAAACACATAATTTTGGGCTAACCGGCCTATAAAGTCCATATTTGCTATCCTATAAGGAGCATGTGTGAATTAGCGTAGTACACTATACATTGAGCAATTTTTTGGAGTGGTGCTGTCACTTTCTTTGTAGCATAACCACCATTATTGGTCCAATTTGAATAATATGAGAATTTCCACAGAGAAAGAGAAGAAAGAAAAAAAAAAGGAAGAGTAAGAAAGAATTTTCTTGGTTGTATTTCCTTTTATTGTTATATGTGGTTGAGGAAAAACTACAATGATTCCCATGCAATAGAGAGTTACTAAGCCTTCCATTAATATTGTAAACGAACCGAACCGAATCGAGCTTTGACTGTTCGAGCTCGTGTTCGTTTACGTTCGAACAATGTTCGTGTTCGTTCGTTTATTTTTCGAGCAAAAAATCGTGTTCGAGTTCGTTCGTTTAATTGTTCGTAAAAGTTCGAGTTCGTTCGTATTCGAATAATTTAATACTTTTAAAATATGTTTGATTAACTCGAAATTTGTTCTTTCGAACTCGTTCGAACTCGAAAATAAAAAAATAAAATAAAAATATTTTTATATTTTATATTTTTTATTAAAAATATTATGTAAATATATAAAAAATAAATAAATTTATATTAAATTTTAGTTTTTATTAATAAAAATATTATATGAATATATATAAAATAAAATAAAATTATATTAAATTAATGTTCGCGAACATAATCGAACGTTCACGAACGAGCTCGTGTTCGTTCGATTATTAAACGAGCCTAATTTTATGTTCGAACTCGGCTCGATTAATAAACGAACGAGCTTTTGTCGAACACGAACGAGCTCGAACAAGCTTTTGTTCACGAACGTTCGGTTCGTTTACAGCTCTACGACTCCCATCACTATCTCACACCTTTTTTTCTTTCTGAACCTATAAATTCCATGCCTTACTCCATTCATTTCTCATCACTGTCTCACTTCATAATTGTTGTTTGGTTAGTAATTTGCAGCTCTTTTATCATTTTCATCTTCATTTCCAATCTTATTACCTCTCTCAAAGTCGAAAAATCGAAAATTTCGAATGTCTTGTGTTACTCTTATCTAAAGAATGCCAAAGTTGCCTTGCTTTTTCCTCTGTTTTTACATAGATCGCTTTCCTTATCTTTAGAAAGACAACTTCACATTTTTTTAGAATCCTCTTTTCACTTCACTTTCTCTTGAAAATCCTATATTATACCAAAATCTACAAAGCAAACGAACAAAAGATGACATTCAATAGAAGTGCAGGCCAAGGGCTACCATCCTGTTTGGAGCCCCTTATCCTGAAAAAATGTGTTCTAATGCATCAACTGATCACATCCAAACAAGAAATCCACAGTGAAAAAAATCAACATGTCGGTAAAAATAGAAGCTTTCCGGTTATAGGCGAAAATGCCGAAGAATTAAATAAATGGAACTCTATACAAGATACTTCAAATGATTCTCATCATATCGATAAACAAATGAGGAACGAACGGGAGCAAGTTTACGTGCATCCTCTCGACAAGAGCTCGACTTTTTTTTTACTAAGCCCAAAAAGCCTTGAAATGTGTACCGAGAGCTTAGGAAGCGAAACGGGAAGCGACTTTTATTCAAAAGAGAGTTTTGTCACGAATAAGCTGGCAAGAAAAACGCGAGAATCAAGCAAGAAGACCGATTTTCCACCTCCATTGACAATTATGAATGGGAACAATAATAAAGGTGTGAAAATGGTGAGTCATCGTGAGGGCGGCCGGCTGGTGATCGAGGCCTTCGTATTTTCCTCGAAGTGGAGTCGTTTTAAAACCGAGCGCGAAAACGGGAGGCTTAGGCTTTGTTTGGTAAAGGTGAATGAAGGAGTTGAAGTTGAGAAGGATCGTTTATGGAGATGCAATGGAAATGACTGTGAGAGTAAGAGATTTCCTAGTTTGCCATTTTGTGTGGCTATTTCTTGAAAGCTCTCTTTAATTGATCATATTCTTCTTTTTTTTTTTTTTTTTTT